GAGAGGAGAGGTTTTTAGTTTTTAGGATAGCGAGGTTTGTATTTGAACCTCTCCCTATATATATATATACATATATTATATATATACATATATACATATATTATATATATATACATATATTATACATATAAGAAAATAAAAAAATACTATTCCGGGCCGGGTCTGGGCCCGGGCCGGGCGCCAACGACCGGACCCGTGTCTGGCCCGGGTTTTCGGGCCAAGCCCGGGCCGGGCTCCGGCCGGGCCCGGGCCGACGAGCTTTTTGGACAGGCCTANGGGCCGACGGGTTTTTTGGACAGCCCTAGGGGGGTAGGGGGTATGAGGGACTAGTAAAATATAAAAGATTTGGGAGACTAATATTGAAAAGAACCCATATTTAAGGAATAAATTAGGTAGCACGTGCTCTGTTCGTTCTGCAAGTGGGGATAAAATGGGTAATTCACATGCTTTTTTGGGCTAAAAATGTGATTAGGTGTGACATGTGAAGGACATAGGTGAGTAAAGTTGTCTTCTATCAAAAAATAAAAACTATAGGTGGTAAATATCAATTTTGATAAAAGTTAAAGTGATTTTCATCTAAAAACCCTAAAAAACACGGGTTATATAGCTCATGAAAATTATGAATTTTGATGTCCTCATAAATTATTTACATTCGTTCACATCAAACCAAAATTTTCAAAACTCATGTTATAACCCATGAAAATCTCAAAATACTAAGTACACATAACAAATTTACTTTTGTTCGAAACTAATGAATTATGATTAATTGTATGTTATAACTCATAAAAATAGCAAATTTTAATATACATAATTTATTTATATTCGTTCAAAACGAAAAAATGATCAAAATTCGTGGATTATATCCGTTGAAAATCCTAAATTTTGACGTGCACGTAAGAAATTTACATTCATCTGAAAAGAACGAAAATTAGCAAAATCCTAAGTTATTGCTCATTAAAAATGCGAGTTTGGTGTACACATAAATTATTTATATTTGTTGAAAGTAACCAAGATTGTCAAAGGTCATCGTTATATTACATGAAAATCTCAATTTTTAAAAAACAAATCGTGGATTAAAGCTCATTTATATCGTGAATTTTAATGTATACATAATTTATTGACATTCGTTCAAAATGTACTCAAATTGTTAAAATTTGTAGGTTAAGCATAAGAAAATCCCAAAATTTGAAGTACGCATAGCGAATTTGTAATCGTTCGAAACAAACAAAAATTGACAAAATTGTGTTTTGTAGTTCATGAAAATTGGAAATCTTGATGTACATATAATTTATTTAAACAAATTTTGATATACACAATTTATTTACATTTGTTCAAAATGAAGAAAAATCGTGAGTTATAGTACATCAAAATAGGAGTTATAATTCATGAAAATCGCAAATTTAATATACATAATTTATTTACACGTTCAAATTGAAGAAAATTTGTGAAAATCCGTAGGTTATAGCAATGTTTTATATATTGGCTGCCATGTCGGACATGTTGGCCGACATGACGGAGAGGCCAATAGACACGATATGGAGCTTTTCAATGTGTGTTGCGTTTTCAAGGGTTCATATTGGATGTATCGTGAGACTGTCTAATATGTCGGTCGGATATATCGGGGGACATGGTGGCTATGTTGGTCGAATTTTAGTCTAAAAAATTGGCTAATTTTTTTGGTTATGTTTATCTAATCAGGTTTGGGTTTAAATTCCTGATTGGATTAATATTGCTTTAAAAAACAAAACCCATTCGGTTAGTGGAAAAAAGGACCAAAGCCATTTCCATAACTCCTCTTATCTCTCTCAATTAACATCTCATTGGTCTATTTTCCGAGCTGTTTCTTTGACATCAATATTGGGCGATCTTCTCTCTTTAACTGCCAACATCGTGCTTCTCCATGCTCACCACTTTCCTTCAACATCAACCCTAAGCACCATAAATTATTTACTTTTTATATGTTTAGACAATAGAATTTATTATGTTTAGATTTTATTTATGATATTATATTACACATATGCACACTTTTTTTTTTTGGTCAATGAGAATTTTTTATTCATTTACCAAAAATTGGAAGAATATGTACATCCTGATATTCAGTTCATAATTGAACTGAAAAAACAAATATCAAACAGAAAACAAGAAAAACAGGTGTTACAAATTACATCAAAGAGATAACAACCACTGTTTATTTTCCTCTAAACATGAACTGTTAAGGATCATGATCATTATGTCCAGCTTTATCTTCTTAGTAATCTGATCAATATTCTTAATTCCCTTGTTGAAAATCCTATCATTCCTCTCCCTCCATATTCTGTATACTGTGTTTGCTAGAGCCAGCCTCTTTAAACTTTGCTTAAAACCCTTTCCTCTCAGTCTACATGTATACCAGTCCATAAGTATATCCCAATCACAAGCCCTCCATTTAAATTTGAGCCAATCCATAATGTTGTTCCACACAGCTTTTGAGAATAGGCAATCAAAGAACAGATGATTACGTGATTCCTGCACATTATCAGAACACAGACAACAATGGTCTGATTGAATAATACCCCTCTTAAGAAGCTTTTCCCTGGTTAACAGTCTGTTTAGAACAGCTAACCACAAAATAAAGCTATGCTTAGGATATATCAAAGTGTCCCAAACTGTCAAATACCAGTTCACTTTGTTTGAAACTGGAGATATGGCCGAATAAAGCTTAGACAGCTGAATACTTGAATTTTTGCAACATGAATTGATGCATCTCTTCAGATTCTCTATGCCTCCACAGATAGTGATTGCTTTATCTCTTGCTTTAATTAATTGTTTCCACATCCAAGAGTCTCCAACTTTCATATTCACAAGCCAAATGTTTGTGTTTTTCAGGTACTTTCCATGAATCCACTTAATCCACAGCCATTCTTTGTTTACATGAATAAACCAAATAATTTTAAGAGCTGATGCCATATTCCAAGTTTTTGCAGAAAAGATACCCAAGCCACCACACCTCTTCTCACTACAGATTTTGTCCCAAGCAACTAGAGGAGATTTGAGAGACAGATCAGTTTTACCCCATAAAAAATCTCTGCATAAATCATCTATTTTCTTCAGAACTTTTGATGGCAGAATGTAATTAGAAGTCCGGTACAGCTGAATTCCCAGTATCACACTTTTTATGACTTGAAGTCTACCCGCATATGTTAGGTTCTGTTTTGTACAGCTGAATTCCCAGTATCACACTTTTTATGACTTGAAGTCTACCCGCATATGTTAGGTTCTGTTTTTTCAGCCAAGATGAAAACTGATTTGTAATCTCTGTTTTTTCAGCCAAGATGAAAACTGATTTGTAATCTTCTTAAACAGAGGGGTACAATCAACATATGAGAGTCTCTTAAAACCTTGGGTTATAGTGCACACTATTCAATATGGCAATCCTATTTTTTTTCATGTCCCCCGACATATCTCCGATTTTCGCTATCAGACATGAATTTTAGCTGTCTAACATGAATCCGACATTCAACATTTAAAACCTTGGGTTATAGTGCATGAAACTCCTAAAATTTGAAGTACACATCAAATGCGTTCGAAACGAACAAAAATGGAGAAAATACTGGGTTATAGCTTATGAAAATCGCGAAGTTTGATGCCACATGAATTATTTACATTCGTTTCAGACAAATAAAAATTGTCAAAAATCATGGGTTATATCCTATGAAAATCTCAATTTTGAAGTACACATTATAAATTTATATTCATTCAAAATGAATATAAATTGACAAAATCATTGGTCATGGTCATGAAAATTGTAAATTTTGATGTAGTCATAACTTATTTACATTCGTTCAAAATGAACCAAATATTTTAAATTTGTTGGTTGTAACATATGAAAATCACAAAATTTGAAGTACACATTAAATTCACATTTGCTTGAAATGAACGAAAATTGACAAGATCGTGGGTATAGGTAATGAAAATCATGAAGTTTAATATACACATAAATTAATTACTTTCTTTAAAAAAGAACAAATTTGTACACAGTAAATTTACATCCCTTTGAAAAATCACGAACTTTTTAGTACACATAATAAATATACATTTGTTCAAATGAACAAAAATTGAAAAAATTGTGGGTTATGGCTCATGAAAATAATGAATTTTGATGTACACATATTTTATTTATATCAGTTCAAAACAAACCAAAATTGTCAAAATTCGTGGGTTAGCTTGTGAAAATCCCAAAATTTGAAGTTCACGTAATAAATTTACATTCGTCTTAAAGAAGTAAAAATTGACAAAATCATGGGTTAAAGAAGTAAAAGTTTGGTGTACCCATAATATATTTACATTCATTCTAAACAAACAAAATTTATAAAAAAACATGGGTTATGTTGTATGAAAATCTCAAATTTTGAAATACACATAACAAATTGATAATCATTCAAAACAAAGTTTGACAAAATCGTGGGTTATAGCTTGTGAAAATTTGTGAGTCTTGATGCACACATAATTTATTTAAATTCATTTAAAACAAACCAAAATTGTTAAAAATTGTGGATTATAGTCCATGAAAGTACCAAATTTTGAAGTACACATAATAAATTAACATTCGTTCAAAACAAACGTAAACTGACAAAATCGTTTTTTATGGCTCATGAAAATCGTGAATTTTGATGTATCCATAATTTATTTACATGTATAAAGAAGGAACCAAAATTTTCATAATTCGTGGGTTATATAGCATATGAAAATCCCAAAACTTAAAGTATATATAGTAAATTTATATGCATTCAGATCATAAAAATTGATACAATTGTGGGCTATAGCTCATGAAGATCGTGAATTTTGATGTACGCAATTTCTTTAAATCTGTTCAAAAGGAACCAAAATTTTTAAATAAATCATGGGTTATAGCCCATAATAATCCCAGCTTTTGAAGTACAAAAAAATTTACATTCACTCGAAATGAAAAATGACAAAATCGTGGGTAATAACTCAATAGTAATCGTGAAGTTTGATGTACACATAATTTATCTATATTTGTAAAGAATGAACCAAAATTAACAAAAATAATGGGTCATAGCCTACAAAAATCTTAAAATTTGATGTACACATAATAAATTTATTTTTTGTTAAAGCGAACCGAAATTGAAAAAAAATCATGGATTATAGCTCCGTGAAAATTGCGAATTTTGGTGTCCATATAGTTTATTTACATTCGTTCAAAACTAACCAAAATTGTTAAAAATCATTGGTTAGCCCATGAAAATCTAAACAATTTAATCATGGGTTATATAGCCCATGAAAATCTCAAAAATTTAAGTACACAGTAAATTTACTTTAACTCGAAATGAACAAAATATAACAAAATTGTAGAAATTCACAACTTTTAATATACGCAATATATTTACATTTGTTCAAAATAAATAAAAATTATGAAAACTCGTGGGTTATAATACATGAAAATCCTAAATTTTGAAGCACACATAAGAAAGTTACGTTTGTTCGAAATGAACGAAAATTGACAAAATCCTCAAATATAGCTCATCAAAATCGCAATGTTTGATGTACACAGATTATTTATATTTGTTTAAAATGAACCAAAATTGTCAAAAACCATGCATTATATCCAATGGAAATCTCAATTTTGAAATATATGTAATAAACTTATGTTCATTCGGAACGAAAAAAATTGACATAATCGTGGATTAGCTTATGATTGCAATTTTTGATATATACATAATTTATTGGCAATTATTCAAAAAGAGCCCAAGTTGTAAAAAATTAGTGGGTTATAGCACATGAAAATCACAAATTTTGTAGTACACATAATAAAATACATTCGTTGAGAACAAACGAAAATTAACAAAATCATGGTTTAGAGCTCTTGAAAATCTTGAAGTTTGATGTACACATAAATTATTTACATTTGTTCAAAAACAAACAAAAATTATCAAAAATCATGGGTTTGATTTAATGAAAATCTCAAACTATGAAGTACACATAATAAATCAATATTCGTACAAAACAAATGAAATATGGCGATGACCCAAATTTGTTTACATTTGTTCATAACGTGAACCAGAATTTTCATTATTGTTGGTTAGTGCGTATGAAAATCTCAAAATTTTAAAGTAAACATAATAAATTTACATTCATTTGAAAACGAATGAAAGTTCAGAAAATTGTAGGTTATAGCTCATGAAAATCACAAATTTTGACGTACACATAATTTAATTATATTTGTTCAAAACGAATCAAAAGTGTCCAAAATCGTGGGTTATAGCCCATTAAATCCCAAAATTTAAAGTTCACATAAAAATTTATACTTGTTCAAAATGAATGTGAAATAAACAAAATCGTGGGTTATATAGCTCATGAAAATAGTGAAGTTTGATGTATTTATAATTTATTTATATTCCTTCAAAACAAACCAAAATTATCAAAACGAACAAAATTGTCAAAAATCAAAATTTGAAGTACATAATAAATTTACATTCATTTGAAATAAACGAATATTGAACGAAAATCGACAAAATTGTCAAAAATCATGGGTTGTAGCCAATGAAAATAACAAATTTTGATGTGCAAATAATCAATTTATTTTCATTCGAAATGAACCGAATTGACAAGATTCGTACGTTATGCCTTATGTAACCATGAATTTTGATGTACATATAATTTATACATTTGTTCAAACGATCCAAAAATGCCATAAGTCGCGGGTTATAGCCCAAGAAAATTACAAATTTGAAGATACACATCATAAATTCACTTTTGTTTGAAATGATCCCAAATTAACAAAAGATAGTGGTGGGTTAAAGCTCGTGTAAATCACAAATTTTGGTGTACATAATTTACTTGTATTCATTCAAAATGAACCAAAACTGTCAAATATCTTGGGTTATATCCCATGGAAACCCCAAAAAATTGAAGTACACATAGGTTATAGCTCATGAAAATTACAAATTTTGATGCAAGCATAGTTCATTTACTTTCTCTCAAAAAGAATCAAATTTATCAAAAATTGTGAGTTATAACTTATAACTCCTAAATTTCTCAAATTTTAAAGTTCACATAATAAATTTACTTATTTACATTCATTCAAAATGAACGAAAATTGACAAAATTGTAGGATATAGCTCATCCAAATTGCAAGGTTTTATGTACATATATTTTATTTACAGTTGTTCACAAAGAATCAAAAATTTTAAAAAACGTGATTTATGGCTTATAAAAATCTTGAATTTTAAAGTACACATAATAAATTTACATTTGTTTGAAACAACAAAATATGATAAATCCTTGAGTCATAGCCAATAAAAATCGTGAAGTTTGATTGCACATAATTTATTTACATTTGTTTAAAATGAAGCAAAATTGTAAAAAAAATTGGGTTATAGTCTATGAAAATCTCAAAATTTGAAGTATACATATTAAATTTATATTCGTTTGAAATTAATGAAATATAACAAAGCTATGAGTTATAGCTCATAAATATCGTTAATTTTGATGTATACATAATTTATTTAGATTTGTTCAGAATGAACAAAAAATTGTCAACAATAAGTGGTTTTAATAGCTCAGAAAATCACAAATTTTGATGTACACATAATAAATTTGCTTTCGTTTGGAGCGAATCAAATTTTACAAAATTCATAAGTTATAGCCTTATGAAAATCGCGAATTTCGATGTACGCATACTTTATTTACATTCATTCAAAACAAATCAAAATTGACAAAAATCATAGGTTATAGCCAATGAAAATCACAAAATTTGAAGTACACAATAAATTTACATTCGTTTGATGAAAGAAAATTGCCAAAATTGTGATTTATAGGTTGTGAAAATCACAAATTTTGATGTACGTATAATTTGTTTATATTCGTCTGAAACGAGCCAAAATTGTCAAAATTACCAGGTTATACAATGAAATACCAAATTTTAAGCACACGGTAAATCTAAATTC